ACTTTACACAATTCCACCTCTGGTCTGGTCTAGTGTTGTCACCAGGCTGCTGAGTTCTTATTTCGAACCCAGTCTACTGGGATATCGTGGCAAACCCACTCCTAACACAAGCGTCTAAATTATTAGCTTATCTGAAGGGGTTAAAGGACGGAAAGCTTAGTAATTTTTGCACGAAATCTTACTCGTAGGAATACTTTATCTAAATAAATGAATACAATAATCTTGTAGGTAACTATTTCCAGTATCTAACGGAATGTTAATTTCCTTTAATCAGTTTTTTGCTACAAATTCTTTTCGATTCAAATAAACGGCCTCGAGGTGACTAAGCGGCGTAGGCGCAGCGGGCATGTAAAGCGGTGCCGGTTCTCTTCCTGGCTTGGGTTATGCTTTTGGTTATATCAACCTGCTATGATTTATTGATGAACGACTGAGACGATGAAAAGGACTATATATTCCATAGCTGAAAATACATAATATGTACATTAAAAAAAGTATGTTTTTGCGTCACAATTATCGATTGGAGAGTCCCTGTTTTAATCTGGGTTGGCCGCCGATTTATTCTATTAACCTTTTTCTATAAGCTTATCTTTTCTAGTGGGGCTAATATGAATAACATTTACGGGTATGTACCATTATTTGAGAGATCTTTACAAAAATATGGCACATGTGAAATAATTGAGCCAGAATTTGACTTTTAGTATGTAGTATTTTCAAAGTTACGAAATTCCTAAAAATAAGCGCTTAGTAACCTATAAATTTAGTAATTACACAGTTCTAGGAAAGAACGGAAGCTCGCGGCCGATCGATCAAAAGGTTCACATGGTCGTTAATGGAGCTATAATTTTTGCCGCAGTACAAGTTAATTGATGTAGGATATACAGGGTGATAACTTGTTACAATAAATTGACTTTTTTACTTTTGTATTTCATTAATCTAAACTATACGAGAGTCGTCCTCTTTCAGAGATAAAAAAACATCACAAACATAACGAAATCATATAAATAAGATATCTAGGATCAATATTCAATATTATGAAGATAGATATCGCAAAATTGGACAGTTATTATAAGTTTTTTTTTTATTTGCACAGAAACATGCATTGGCAGTAAAATGATTCTTCTACCTATTGCAAAAGTTGAAATAAAACCGACTCCAAAAAACATACACTAAAAAGTAGAAAAATAATTACTTATCTTATTTATTAGGACGAATTAATATTTATGTATACCATGATTGATACTTCTGGAGTCGGTGCCAAGATTATGAAACGTGTGAAGTTTGCCTGCACCGACTCCAAAAGTATCAATCATGGTATACATAAATATTAATTCGTCCTAATAAATAAGATTAGTAATTATTTTTCTACTTTTTAGTGTATGTTTTTTGGAGTCGGTTTTATTTTTTTTTATAAAAATTAACTTATTTCTTCCTTTTTAGTTACTTACTATTTATTACCTTGATGTTACCACTGAATGTAGGCAGTACATTGAGACTATATTCTTCATGTCAAGTGTAAAATAAAAATCCCTACAAAATACAGGTTACCATATCGGCAACCTAAAAAGACCTTAAACCGTCAGCCCACCTTAAAAACATGAAAGAATACAACTGTTGGTCTATTTCTACCTATAATATTTAAAGAATTATCCTTCAACTCCTAAGCGTTAAGGAGTTGTACGTATCAAGACCAGTTCATCATGATGAGATGATGACTATCTGATGCAAACACTTGAATAACTTTAGAAACTATACTTATCTATAAAATTAAAAGAATCATCCTCCAACTTCTAAGCATTAAGGAGTTTTACCTTCTATCATCAGCTCATCAATATGAGATGATGATTTCCAGAAGCAAATATTTGAATAACTTAAGAAAACGTTTGAAAAACGATATACGTGCCTATAAAATTTGAGGGTTGCCCTCGATTTCCCTAGGATCCCATCATCAGATCCTGACTTGGTGACAATGGGACCACCTCGGAAGTGTACCCTATCGAACAAAAAAAGAATTTTGAAAATCGGTCCACAATTGACGGAGTAATCGGTGAACGTTCATAGAAAAAAAAAACATACATACAGTCGAACATATAACCTCCTCCTTTTTTGAGTCGGTTAAAAATTTACTTATAGTTATAATATTAGCGGTTCAAAAGTCATCATCCTGTGTAATAAATAACATAGATGTAGGATATGATCAAAGTTAACTACTTGTCGCGGTTATAAATCTATGACTAAAGGTAACGGGGTAAGGAGCTCAGTACAGTCAGGAATATACACATTATGTTGGAAATATTATGGTAAAAAAGCTTTTGACCGTTTTTGACCAATTTGACCGTAAATGACGGTCAGTCAAATTCAGCCGCTTTAGTCATTTTCAACACTACTCGCATGAAAAACGCCGAGCTTATTTGGAGCCCTGATTGTTTTAAATAATTTTGCATTTACAATACATTCTATGTTCGTTCATGCATTTCTATGTATGTTTTTAACTATGTACGTACATAGACCTGCCTATATCCATTCTCTGATAGATAGTCGCAATTAGTGTAACAAAACAATTTATTATTAAATTTTTGCTGACCTTGCAAAAAGAATCTAAGACAAATGCCACAAAACCTTAATAACACTAAGTTATACCACCATTAGAACGAAATCTAGATTGGGTATTATTAGGCAACAATAATCCATTAATTAATTCTTCAAGCGACCTTGTGGCGGCCTTGTTAAATCTTTTAGAAGATTTGGTTTGATGATAGGGTAAACCAGAGAGTGATTGCCCACTGGTAGTGATTGCCCGCTTTAAGAATAATATTGTCAGGTGCTGACTTTGAATCACTATAGTTAGATTTGAATTTACTAAGTAGATGGCTCCGAGATCAATGTACAGTAGATTTATAATTTACAATAGGAAACACTAAAAAAAAAACAGTTATGGCGGATTTTGTCAAGACGGGTGAAAATGTTACTCAAACAGGTAAAGACTTTAACAATTTTACTAAGGAATTACTTGCTTAGAGGTTAAATTTTTTTTGCAAGTTATTCAATATTCAACAAATGGTGTATAGTCATGATGAAATTACAAGTGTTTTCTCCATTATCAATGAAAATAACTGATAAAATTTGATTTCTAACGGTCATTTTAACGGTGGGTAATCACTGCACGTAAATCTGTATATTTTCAGTTATTGCCCACCATCATTTCAGTTATTGCCATATGTTAATGTATAGTTATTGCCCAGGGCAATTATTATTAGAGTGTTGCCACAATGCAGTAGCAGTGTTTAAGTTGCTCATTGCTAGACTTGTTTTGCAATTTACAGGCATAAATATTGAAATGGCTTTTAATGTTTCATTTTCAGTATGCCAAAGACTCCAAAAGTTCAATATAGCATAGAAAATTTGCAAAAAGCGATCGAAGCTGTACAAGATGTATCCAACAATTTATCTACAAGATAAATTGCTGAAAAGTATGGTTTGGCTTCAAAAAGTTGATAAAAATTGAAACGCAAATACAAAAAATGAAAAACCTACGTTAAATCTACTAGTGAAAATGTTAATTGTAAGGAAATAGATACAACTTTAGGGAAGAATAACCAACAGCTAATTGAACATTCTGAGCAACCACTTGAACTGATATCAAAGAAGATAAAAAAAATACATATAAAACTTACAAATAAAATTCATCATCGTCATCTATGTTTTGAAGTAGATGATTCTGTCTCTACCGATTCTGACTCCTCAACATTCAGCTCAAGAAATATTTGATAATATAGTTAATAAGGCCAAACGCAATTTATTTTTAAATTTTGAAGACTGTACTACTAGAATTTAAGTTTAATGTTTTGTTTTGTTTATTTAAAGCCTATTTTGTCATTTTAAAATTGATTATTTTGTTTTAAGATACTGGGCAATAACTGTGCTTTGATGTGGGCAATTAGTGTAAGTAATGGGCAATGACTGTACTTTTTGGAGGATTTTAAATTTATTTCAATATTTTGTAAGTTACGTAAGTTTTAACTAAAAACTGTTAATATTCTGTTTAAAATTTTATTGAGTTATAAGAAAAAAGCCATAAATGGTTCATAATTAAAATACTTTCTTTAATTTTTCATCTCATTGGTTTTGAAATCTTTAAGTGGGCAATAGCTATACGGTTTACCCTATATGGATAACGGACATGGCGATGATTATATCGATTGTTGTGTAGGACAGTTGGGAAATTAATCGATCCAGTCCAAGGATGTGTGAAGAATTTGATACGATGTGTTAGATAAGATAAGATTCATTTGATTGCATAAATTATGGCAATCTCATGATCCGTCTTAACGTTTTCGGAGGTAATGGTTGGACATAAAATCTAGTTTATTTCAACGAACTTTAGCTGTTAAACTAAAAATAAATAGAAATTGTAGATTTTAGGATCACAAGGCGTGATGTCATACGAGTCGCCAGACTATCAATGTTTTCTTTAAATAAGGGTTGAGACTATGGAACCCTAAAAATGGCCCATGTTTTGATAAACACAGATTTTTAGGGGTTTGATGAAAGAAAAGTCAAATTGAAACGAACTCGTTGTTATTGACAGATTTCCATTGAATTGTTAGATACAACCTCTAAGTATTTACAAGTAGATAGTGATGATGATGATGATGATGATCCATCCGACCGATTTCGGCCATGGCGACCACTCCGACTCCTAGCTGTCTTGGCGGCGCTGGTGTGCCCGAAGATGGCTTACGTAGCCTATTTTCGCGGTAAAATCCCTCGCGCATTGAGGGCATCTGAGCACGCCGCCAACATAGTTATAGTGAATGGCGGCAGATGGACGGGCCTTCAAGTCATCGCGCTTCGCGTCGAGTTTAGTCGTACGCTGCACCTCGAACTCGTGGACTTGCCTCTTCACAATCTCCCGCCATTCTGGACGCTGTGCTGCCAAACCTTCCCACTGAGAGGGCTCAATGTTGCATCTTTTCATGTGCCGCTTCTGTACATCTTTGTACCTGAGGAGTTGACCGCCATGTTTCCGCTTACCCTCCTCAAGTTCAGAGTAGAAGATGCGCTTCGCCACTCTCTCCTCCGTCATACGTGATACGTGACCACACCATCGAAGTTGGCGACGCATTATATAGGCCTCAATGCCACCCACATGGGCTCGTCGTAGCACCTCGGTATTGCAACAAGTAGATAGTACAAAACAAGGAAACAATCTTTAATTGGTGTTAAGAAGACCTCATAGTTAATGCTCACCTGCTTCCACTAAACATAAGTTATAGCCATCAAGATGCCGCATCTAATCTTAATTTTATGCATTAATGAGTACCAAAGTACATAATAAATAATAAGTACATCAAAGGCGACCGCTTTAAGCAGTAATGAACTGTTAGAACATTGTTTTGAAATGTATACTTTCTTACCATTGTTTATGGTCTAGTCTTCAATAACTACTAAACCATTGAAAAAATATGATTTTTCATGAAAATATGCTGAAATTTCAGCGCCTTTTGAAGACCTATGTGTCTTGTTTTAGAACCGCTGATAAAACTGAGAAATTATGTCTTTACAGGGAGAATATATCCTATATCTGACAGCTATAAGTTGTTTAGCTATGTAAGTAGTTGAGAAAACCCGAAACTATGTCTAAACACATAACCAGTACCTACTGTTATACACACTTAGTTCAAAAGGTCGCACTGATTTTCCTTAATGGATTTAAAATTACCACGAAGATATGTTTCGACACACATAATTTTCACTGTTGCTTTAATACATTCCTATGGCCATAAGTATTGAAATAGGCATATTGACAAGGATGATAATTAATTCCAATATTACACATGCCTGTCCTTGATACGAATTTTTGAGTAAACATCATTTTTAGGCTTGAAGTATTTATGAGCGGTATATTTGATTACGATACATTATTCCAATCACTTAATAGTGTTGAAATTTTTAATCCACTTAATAAAACTAACCCTTACAACATTTGGACATAATATAAAAAGATGTGGTATTCTCGCTTAAGTAAACGCTGAACAATAGGCTTATAACAGCTAGCGGTAATGCAGAGCGCAGTGCGACGAAGAAAAACGGACAAAAAAATTTTTTTAATCTCACGCATGCATAGAATTTACTCCAAATTAATTATAATAATTGAAAGTAATTTTAGGATAGATCCAGTTTATTTTATAACCTATTATTGGTATCGTTTGATAGAGCTCACATAGAGCTCACGAAGCACTTTCAGGATCATTAACTAGTTTTTCGATATCTTGTATAGTTTAGAAATAATCGAGTGAGATCACTTATCGTTTCCACCCTGTATGTACAGTTATTGGCGAGACGGTTTTCGATGGCCTGATGATCAATAGGATGATCAATCAATTCTAGTCCGACCCTAAGGCCTACTGCATCATACTCTAGTATTGTTACCGTGTCTAGTATCAACCTCTGTATGAATAATGAATACAATTTTAACAGTGTCAAATAATAAGGAACTTCTTCACGACCATGTCGACCATGACTTAGCAATTTGTTAATTAAGTGTGATTACTAAAGATGTTTTAATTTTAAAATTTCATAAATCTTTGACCCGAGTGTCGCGTTTCAAGCAGAGAATTTTAATTTGAAAATGACCCAATCTTAGTTTGTTACAAATCCAGAAATTACAGTGTTTTTTTCGGTTTCCTGACATAGATTTATTAAAAAACTAGCGGCCGCCCGCGACTTCGTTCGCGTGGACCTCGTTTTACCCCCGTTAGATATCATGTTGATAGATGGCGTTTCACGGCTTCCCCCGAATGAATATGTACGAACGTCAAAACAGTAGTTTGTCCAGCGCTGTAGATTTTAACAAATGATGATAGATTGCGCTTATTAGATACGTCTTATTTATTTAATGAAATTTATTTGTCACATATCGTCATAAGTTATAGCCTATATGTTAATCTGGGTTATAAACAATATTACTGTAAAGTTTCAACAAAATCCGTTCAGTAGTATTTGCGTGAAAGAGTAACAAACATCCAGACATCATGACATCCAGACATCCAAACTTTCGCCTTTATAATATTAGTACGATAGGATGTTTCGCTTTTGAATACGCGCACAAAGGTAGAGCTTTCATTTTTTTCGTTGCACAACTCACAAGTCAATTAATAACAAATCCTTTATTAATTTTACCCAGTAGTCTATTTATCTTTTACACTATTCATCAATTACAGTTCTATGTCTAATTATGTCGATGCCCATGCCTTGCGCAAGAGACCTTGCATTGACAGCTGTCATCGCATATATTTCACAGGCTCTATTTTTAACGCGTTCAGCACCTATTGTCTTATAGTGTATAGGTATTGCTATTTCTGTGCTGAGTAATAAAATTATTAGCATGTTATGGTATGCAATAATAGGTTTAACAAGATTGACATTTTTAATTCTTCCTTACCATCTTATAAAAAACAATTGAGAGAATGTTTGAATATATAACTTGCTTTTAATTTTGACCTACATAATTATTGTGTTTTTAATTTATATAATTTTATTAATATTTAACTTTTTGACATTTTATAATTTTTATTAAATTTAACTGTTTGACATTTTATAAAATTGACATTGTATTTATTTGACATTTAGAAATTAATGTATAATTTATTACTATTCAATTAATTTTTAGTCTGCAATCTGTATTAATTTTAACTGTGGAAACTTTGCTGATTTCTGTCCTATTTTTTGTGTGATTATTTGTCTGTATATGAAAATTGTTTGTTTCCCTAATATAAATAAATAAATAAAAAGTGGAATGCCGAGTTGTATTTCTAAAACTTGTTCTATTATTTTATACTATTTGGCTGCGACTCGGCGTGACGACAATACAAAACATTTTTCGCGAATCGGTGTTCATACATTCACACAATACATTAGACGCCATGTTGTCATAAACGACATATTATAAAATCGCTGTAATTTAATATTCTTAATCATTAATTTTATGGCAAGTGTCCATCAGGAATCATTGTTCTTACACACAGAATCGTATTATTTCGCTTTCGGGTAGTAATATGTCAAAATTGTTGGTTCTTAGGCGAACAATGTATGGAGAACGAACATTGTCCTTTCATCAAAATCGGTTGCGAGGTTTAAGCGGGAAAGCGTAACAGACAGACAGACAGACAGACAGACAGACAGACAGACAGAGTTACTTTCACATTTATAATATTAGTTGGGAAGTTGGGATAATACTATTTACTGCACTGCTTAACCCAAAAGTTACGGAATTGAGTTCATTTAGTGTATTTTTTTTTTGTTATCTTTTTAGCCCCACATCCTGAATTTAATTCATTCTCCACAAGAACCCTAAAACTAGTCATCGTGCCCATTCAGAAGGACATTTTAAACGAACGTAGGAAACGCGTTCGGTATTCGCGCAGGTCGTTCGACAAATCGCGTTAGACATGACGTCTTTTCACTCATTAGTGAAATACTTAGGCTAAGTTGCACCATCTTATTTTAACTTTGACAAACGTCAAAAATCTGTCAAACTCCATACAAAAAGCACCGGTTATTGTCATTGTTACGGTTAAAATAAGGTGGTGCAACTCAGCCTAAGTCATTACTAAGTATAGTTTAGTGGTGCCTAGCCTAGTGGTATAGGTAACGCACTTCGTAACGTCAGCTACCGGGTTCGAGTCCTGCGAAGGACAAGTATTAAGTATGGACTTTAAAATAAAAAACTAAACTCAGTAAAACTCATTTATTTCTGTAAGTAGGCTTTAAAAAAGCACTTTTACACGTCCCAGTATTAACCCTACCACTGCTTCAGGACAATAAATAGGCCAGTGCTGAGAAGAAGCAGCGCAAGAAACTCAGACACTATTGTCAGCCTCTTTTTCATAATAAATAACAGTAGTATCTAATCTCGAGAAATAGTTCGCCTCTCCATCTAAATTTTACCAGCTGATCAGTCATATCAGCTTTCTTAGATTTGGTCTCATATTTTATTTTATTTGAACACTAGCTTTCCGCCCGTGGCTTCGCCCGCGTGGAATTTTGTCTGTCACAGAAGAACTTTATCGCGCGCGTCCCTGTTTGAAAAACCGGGATAAAAACTATCCTATGTCCTTTTCCGGGACTCAAACTATCTCTATGCTAAATTTCATCAAAATCGGTTCAGTGGTTTAGGCGTGAAAGAGAGACAGATAAACAGACAGACAGAGTTACTTTCGCATTTATAATATTAGTATAGATTAGAATCACACCCGTTGAGTTCGTCGGACAGTTTTTTTTTTTTGGGAGGCAGGTATCTCTCTTTCTCTATTAAAAAAGTAAACTAGATTCAAAGTTACGACTAACGGCTGTCTTAGAACTCATTTCCCTACAAATTGAATTTCACATAAAATATCTTAATACAGTGTTCGTTGAGTAAACAACCTCAGGTTGAGTAATAATGAGCCAGACGCAGGAGTCTCCGCGGCGCCTGCGGTTGCCAGGCAACGGGGCGCCGGCGCCGCCCGCCCTCGGCGCCTGATGTACAGCTGATAGATGTGGCAACGATAATGCTATTTCTAACGGGAACAGAAAAGACATTCTTTTGTAAAGTTACAGCAATCAAAAGTCACTTTAAGTATACAATGAAATTATGTATAAGCACACGGGATCGGTACCGGTCGTAGTGATACTTTGACTTCATAGAACTAGACAAGCCGCGCCAAGAAAAAATACTCTCACGATATATGCAGTCTTTGCAGTGTGATTGCCAATTGAAGGGGTGAGTGGACAAAGGTGTTATCTGACAAAACTGAAGAATCGACTTTTTTGCATGAACATAGGTTTTAACTTTTAAGTGATGAAAAAATCGACTAACGAGCTCAAAACACGCAATTTATTTTGTTACGTGTCAAACCTTAACAAAGGTGTTATCTGACAAGCATTCATACATTATTTTCAGGATTCAAATGTGGTATGAGCAGATTAACATTTTCAAACACTCATAACTCCTTTTGTTAGTTAAGACCTTTGTCCACTCAACCCTTCAATTGGCAATTCAAGCTGAGGCCAAGCTGAATTCAGCTTCATCGTTCCATCAACGAA